CATCACTGCAGCCTGTTGTGGATGTAGTTTCATGTACGTCAGACTGCATTTTCAGCTTTGATTTGGACTTCACACATTCACACACACACTTAGATGCACATTTGCATGATTAAGTGAAAGTTGCTGACATCCTGATAGCAGTAATATCCACTAACAGGACACTGCTTGTGTGTGTCATGACTAAAGTCTAAAGTGGCTGTCCTTCGGCTCATCGGAAGCACCTGCTCATTGAATCGCTGCCCTTCTGACCTCTGTGGCACTAACTGATTGGCCGGCTGATCAATCACTCACTCAGCGGCTGCTCTGATTGGCTCCTTCCGCTTGGTTTTAGAAACACAGAGATCAAGCTGTGGGACTCGAAACGAGCCTGTTGAAATGTTAATGTCAGTGTTTCTCTGGCACACACACATCTGGTCTGATGTAAGCAGGGTCTCCAGGTGTGTTTCTAGCCAGAACTATCCCTGGACCAGCTGCATCATGTCTCATGCCTGATGCTCAACGTGTGGGAGAAAAATACTCCAGTCCAGATGTACAGCACGCTTCAGCTGTCTGGACTAAATCTGGACAATATATTTGTCACTTATGGGCACTAATATGTGAGTTAGGTAGCATTTAAATATCATAGTAAACCAAACAGTACCATGGTATATATCAAAGTACTACCAGCTGATGCCTGTCAGTGTTGGTATCATTTACTAAAACTATTTAAAAAAATGTAATAAAATAAAAATATAAAATGAAAAATTTGAAATGTTGCCCTGCAAGTTGAAGAACTAAAATGACAAACTATAAAACTGAAATAAAAGGTTATATTAAAAAAATAAATAAAAGTGGCAAAAGCACATAACAAAATTGCTAAAAATTAAAATAAATAAATAAATAAATAAATAAATTTTTAAATAAATAAAAATAAAGTTCAATAGAAATATTAAAATAATATTTTAATATTAATATTAAAACTAATACAAATGACAAAAGCACAACAACATTTCTAAAACCTAAACTAAAAATAAAAACTGAAATAAAAATAAACTTCAGTCGAAATACTAAAATACTAATAAAAATGACAAAAGCACAAAATTGCTAAAACTAAAAAAAAGGAAAAATATTCAATATAATTATTATAATAAAATGCAAATAAAATGACAAAAGCATGTCACAAAATTACTAAAACTTAAACTAAAAATAAAATTAAATACAAATATTTTAATAAAAATGACAAAAGCACATAATAAAATTACTAAAACTGAAACTAAAACTAAAAAATAAGGTTAAATAGAAATATTAAAAAAAACTAATAAACATGACAAATAACAAAATGACTAAAACTTAAACTAGAATTAAAATGAAAACTGAAAAAAAAAAAAAAAAACTAAAAAATAAAAA